GAGCCGAACTAAAATGTAAAAAATAAAATGATAAAAAGTGCAAAATCAGAAATTGGATGATGTGAAGTAGTCGTGTCACGTGACTATATTTAGTTACATTTGTGGGGTTAAATTTGCTGATTTTGGTCAAAACTGAGCTTGTAAATTCCTCCATATATTCATCTTTGACCAAATATCATGTTATTATTGTTTGAGCAAGAATAATTATTTTGGTTTTTGCATGGTTTGTCAATTATTTTGCATCTTGTACAATAAACGTATTTCTGTTTTTTTTATAATTGTCATGAAACTGTACACATAGTTGACCCCACCTTCTTTCGTTTTCTCTGGTTCACATCTCTGAAGAAAACTAGTTTTTATAAAGCTATAGATGTTTCAATACATCATTAAACATGTTACTGATTACATTTTGAATTAAATTGTGAACCAGACAGTGAAGCATCAACTGGAAGGTGAATTCTGAAGGTAAATCTGTGCACAGATCCGTGCAACACTGATCCCAAGTGGTGACATTGTGGTACTGCAACTAAAGAGCTCCCGTCAGATTTAGATAAAAACTGTGATATAAAGCTAATGTTGTTGTTAGAAACTCTTGTACAGGTACGTGTTGAACAAAATGTGTTTTTATCGACAATCGTATTGAAAAAATATTCATACAAAAGGGAAAAAAACAAATGCAATGTAATTACGTTTTTTTTTTGGCTGTTATTGAACGCGACTCGATGGCTCAGATCCATGAAAGCCTCTTCTGCTTCTAATTTGATTTGAGTAAATAATTTTAAAAACTGAAAAGTATCGACGAGGATGGGATTCGAACCCACGCGTGCAGAGCACAATGGATTAGCAGTCCATCGCCTTAACCACTCGGCCACCTCGTCCGGTGACGTGTCACACTCCCGTACCGTAATCCATCCAACCAACATCCCGCAGTACTCACGTTTGGCCACGAGATGGCGCCAAATACCAATTTATACAGCGGGATTGTCTGATTTTAGACCCAGATCGAGCCTGTAAGGGACCATCCATCCATTTTAGTATCCATTTATTCCCTGACGGGGTCATGGGGGGAAGTGGGGTCAACCTGGACCTCCACCAGACCTCCACCAGACAATGTGAGGGACTAGTTTACTTAAAATAAATGGCATTATCATGATCATCTACTCTAAGAAACTGCTGATCCCCCTGGTCACAAACTCTTTGAAACCCTCCCCTCTGGCAGAAGGTTGAGGACCATCAGGACCAAAACTTCACGCCATAAAGACAGTTTTTATCCAGCAGCAACTGGCCTCATCAACAAGGCCAGTGACCCCCACCTATTCT